GCAGTGACCAGGCAGTGAGGGACACAGGCACACTCGTCATCAGACCCGGGCACAGCCCACATGAGCGCCTGTGTCCCGGGTCACCAGTCCTGAGGCCACCAGCTGGAAAGACAGAAGGCGCAGGACCTGTCCTCTATGGCTGGGCAGTCACACTCGCTTGAGGATGCCCTGCTGTTCCTTTGGGAAGGTTCCTGTGCACCCCACTCTCGCCCAGATGCCCTTGCGACTAGCAGGAGCTGTGGGGCCTCGTTTGGGTTCCCTCCTGGGTCCTCTGCTTCTTTCTCCCCCATCCCCCCAAGCATCCTACTCCGTGGAGGAAGTGCTGTAGCTGATTCCTCTGTCTTCCACAGCAGGATCGGCTGCGGGGAAGTCGCTAGCCTTTCGTTTTTAGCTCCACACCCAAGCCTATTGTTTTATTTATATTCCCCCCCCCCAATAGTACACATTCACTGCTGAAGTTTTAGGGAATACAAAATGGCTTGATTGGCCAGGGCTGGCCAAATAGCTCCGTGGATTAAAGCGCCGCTGCAGGGAGCAGGGGTTCAATCCCCTGGCCTGCTGTGCTGGCCCCACCCCTGGGGCGAGCTGAGATGGCAATTGAGGCTGAGTGTGGAGGCACAAGCCTGTAATCCGAGCTCTTGGGAGGCTGTAAACAGGCGGATCACTTTGAGTCCAATCTAGTAGTGAGCCCCTGAACACCCTGTAGACACTTCCCTAAAATACAAAAAACAAAACAAAACAAACAATAAAACCTAGAACAATTGGTGAGGTATGGTGGCAAACACCTGTAATCCCAGCATTCAGGAGGCTGACACAGGAGGATTATTGTGGGTTCAGGGTAAGTCTGGGCTACATAGTTCAGAAACAACCAAACTACACACTGAGTATGTAAAACAAATGAACAAGCAAAACAAAAAACAGCACAAAGACTCAGAGACAGTCACTGTTATGATTTTGGGATGAAATTTCTAGTCTTGTTTTCTTCCTTCTTTCCTTCCTTTTTTGGGGGGCTGGTCTTTTGACAGGGTCTCATTATGTAGTTCAAGCTGGTCCTGAATTCACTATGTAGCCCAGGCTCTCAAGCGTATGGCCATCCTCCTGCTTCTGTCTCCCTAAATTTGGGGTTACAGGTGTGTGCCACCATGCTCAGCTTCCTAATCTGTTTTCTGTATGTGTGGCATTTTTCTTACAAAAGTGGCGTATGGGTCCTGCTGTGCACAGAACTATAATCTGGTACTGCACCAGAAAGCCTTCATTTTGTAATAACTGCACAGTTTCCAGCATATGGCTGTGTCATAATTCATTAACTCATCTGTCCACTGCTTATATTTTCTGTCCCAATGTTGCTGTAATAAATGATTATTTATCCCCCATTCTCCTAGGTGAATGTTCTCAGAAGTTACTGGAAATGTCTTTGCTGCCCAGACGCTCTGCCCATTTTAGAGTTTGGCTAAATCCCTACTGTTAATCTTTAATTACACTGAACTATGCCAAACTTTTTTGTGAACTTCCAAAGTCTATGTTTTTAAAAGGAATGATCATTGAGGAGACAGACAGCTTTACTCTGAACATTATGCAATGCATACAGGTACAGTACAGAGGCATAACATGGTTTTTATGTATCAGTTCAAAAAATTCCAAAGATGGGTCTTTTTGACAGTCCTCTTCTGTGAGACTGGATCGTTATCTGTCCTTCCTTCTTGTTGCATTCCTGGGGGTCTTGAGCCCAGGGCCTTTGCACTGAGCTATGTCCTTAGCCCCTTACAATTCTGAGACAGGGTCCAGTTAGGCTGCTAAGTTGCCCAGGGCATTAATCAGTGTCCCTGTGGCTGGACATACTATCTGACACTAGCAACTATGGAGGTTAATCTGACTCATGGTTTCAGGATTTAACCCATGGTCAGCTGCTCCAAGGCAGTAGCAACATGGTGGAAGGGCCTGAACTATGAGGGGGTTTTTTGGTAGTAGTACTGGGGATTGAACTCAGGACCCTGAACTTGCCAGGCAGGTGCTTATTCTACTGAGCTATCTCCTGGCGAAAGGCCTGAACTAATGATCTTCCAGCTTCAGCCTCCAAGAGTATAGTAAGTTTTCTCATCAGATTTCCTGGCAGAATTATAGGAAAATCTAGGCAGAAAACTCTTCTAGCAGTGGTTGAAGCAGCCACTTGTTGTGGCCTCAGTGGGTTGTATCTTCCCTGGACTGGTCAGAATTTGGTTGAGGAGCACACAACAGGATAACCCCAAGGCACAGTGGCTTAGACAAAGCAGAAGTGCATTTCTTGGTCACAGATGAAGGTAGCTCAGAGGTGGGTGTCCTAGGCTAGAAGGACAGCTGCATGCAGTCCTCTGGGCCCTTGCTCTTTCTAGTTCTGCCATCCCAGAATGAAACTTTCACCCTCCTAATCCCAAATGGTTTCTCAAGTACAAACTAAAACATCCCCATTCAAAGTAGCAGGAAGAAGGTGTATATGTTCCCTCTTGGAAGTAGACTTTCTAAACCTAATGCTTAGCACTTCGGCTCGCATCTCATTGGTCAGAATGTATTTAATCACATGACTACAATATGCTTAGAGGACAAAAAATGTAGTATCTTAGCTAAATGGCAGACTACCCAGATAAAAACTAGGGTCTCCTAAAGGTCAGACTGGCTAATGGGATGGAACTGAATTATTTACTATTCTGGGCTGAGTTGTGTCCTCTTAAAATTCATATGCTGAAGTCCTGAATCCCAGGACTTCAGAATGTAAGTGTACTTTGAAGAGGTAGAAAAAGCAAACTTTGGGCCTGACATAACCGGTGTCCTTATACAAAGGGGAGATCAGGAAACAGACACCTCACAGGAAAGCACATGGAGAGAAGTCATCTGTAAGCCCAAGAAGGGCCTCAGGAGGACCAAACCTGTCCACCCAGGTCTCGGACATGCAGCCTCCAGGCTGTCTGACCACACACTTCTGTTGCTGAAGCCCCAGGCTGCAGCCCAAACAAGCCAGTATACTTCTTTCTTGGTTTCTTACAAACCGCCACAAAATGTACTGTCTTACCATTTGTTCTTGACTTTCTGGCCACTGTGGCTTGGGAATCCTTGCCTAGCTTGCTTTTGACCCTTGCTCCCTTGGCCTTTTACAGGGGTGCAACCAGATATCAGGGTCACCAATTAGCTGAGGGTTCTTTTTCTCAGTTCAGATGAAAATCATGAATTGGTAAGTGCTGCTCCTTTGATGCTAGTAGCTCTGGTCTTTGAAGGTTGGTGGCTGGCAGCTCTCTCAGTGTCATAGCCCTTCAGGTACGTAACAGCCAGGAGGCACCATGTGGCTGTGGCCACAGGCATCTGAGGTTTAGACCTGCATAAACAGAAAAGAGCCACATGATGATTTTAAAAAGATGAAGGAAAATTTCTTATAAAAGTACAGCAGATAAGAAAATTACCAAATATTTTATTCGCACAGAACTCAGAAGGCGACAAGGACCTTGTAGGGGATATTGTATGAGATGGAAACTTGGGCAGGAGAGAGAGAGAATGCCAACATCATACCCAGTTTGTTAGTTCCTTAAGTACTGTGTTCAGACAGAAGTGACATGGTGCTAATAAGCCTGTTTGTCTTACAGCAGTATCTTGGGTCTGGCTAAAACCAAGAATACTCTCACAATGCACTCGAGGCTATTTGTGCATAACAGATGCCCTGTATTTCCCAGAAGAAATAGCCAGTTTCTCTGCCAAAAGGCAGCAGCTATGGTCATTTCAGCAAACACATTTTACTGATTCTCATCACTTTTTTTTTTTTTTGTATTTAGTACAGGGTCTGTAGGGTCTCACTACATAGATCGGACTTGTAGTGATCCTCCTGTTTTCAGGTTCCCAAGTGCTGGGATTACGGGCAGGGGCCACCAGACCCAGTCTCATTCACCAGCTCAGTGCGCCCCTGCCCCTGGGGTGGGGCCCGCACAGCAGGCAGCAGGCGGATCAAACCCTGGCCCACTGTGCTCTGCCTAGCGGCTTTAGGCCACTGAGCTATCTAGTCCACATCACTTTTAACCCTTCCTTGACATTCAGCTGGAGAGTCAGCGGAATGTATGGTTTGAGTTGAACGAGGTGGTTGCACAACCATGTTACATATTTTTTATCTTATAAAATGCATAACAGTTAAACATAATAAGAGGTACTAAAACAATACAAAATATCAAGGGATTAAACAGCGTGAAAGTAATGCACGGAAACAAATTTAAGCGAGGGCAACATCACCTATCTGGTCTGGTCCTCTCACCCAGCAGAGCAGCTCAAGAGGCTGTAGACGTCCCGGGTCAGGGACTCAGACCCATTAGCACTAATTTAGGGACACTACTGCCAGCAAAATACACATGTCAGGGTCCCACATTATACAGTGGCCTCCACCTACGAATTCAGTTCATTGACAAGAGCTGTTTATAACTCCAGTTGGTCGTAAGTCAAGACTATTTTTCCCATAATGTGTTCTTCGAATCTCCTAAAGCATACCTTAGCTAACCTTTTCATAATACAAAGGGCTGTATAAAGTGCCTGGTGTACCGTTTGCTCCGCGCCCCTCCCCGCGAGCCCCGCCCCCTCCACCCTTAGGGTTTTTCTCCACCTAGGACCCACCTTTGCTCCCGCCCGCGTACAGTCCCGCCCACAGCCCCGCGGGCGTCGCATCCTTGCCCCGCCCCTCTCACGCCTCACCCCGCCCTTCCCCAGCCTCGCTCCTCCTCTCCCTCATGCCGCTCCGCCCTTTTCCCCGCCCCTCAGGCAGCGCCTGCCTCTCTTCCGCCCCGCCCTCCGCCCTGGAACTCGGCGCCTCTGCGAGGGAGGGGCCGCAACCTCAGCGGGGCGGTGGCTCTAAGACGCGAACGTGTAGAGGCGGGCGCAGGGTGGTGCCTCAGCTGGCTATTGGATGAGGCTGCCGCCTGTCTGTCAGTCCCGCTGGCCCGGCCCCGCCTCCAGCGGCGCGGCGGCGCGGGACGTAGGCCACCGCGGGGGCTGTCGGGAAGAGCCCAAGATGGCCGGGTTCCTGGGTTCCGCTTCTGCTCACGGCCCTGCGCCCCATTCATTGCCCCTCTGCTGAGCGGCGCCGCGTGGCGTGGGCTAGCCCGAGGCATCCAGGGGTTGCCCCGCCAGGCGTGACGGCGCCATGGCGACCCTGGAAAAGCTGATGAAGGCCTTCGAGTCTCTCAAGTCCTTCCAGCAGCAGCAGGCGCCGCCGCCTCAGCCCCCTCAGCCGCCGCCCCAGGCGCCGTCGCCCCAGGCACAGCCACCCCCGCCTCCGCCGCCGCCTGGCCCGTCGGGGCCCGAGGAGCCGCTGCCCCGACCGTGAGTCCCCGGCGGCCTCGGCCTGAGCCTGCGCGTGGCGACGGCGGCCGCGCTCCCCATCCCCAGCCTGCGGCTCGCTGGCCGTCCCCTCGCGCCTCTCCCCGCCCGCCGGCCCGTCACCCGGTATTCTCGGCCCCGCGGCCGTCCGCGATCTCAGTGGCCTGTCGGGCCCCAGGCGTCGTGCCCTCCCCGCGTGCTCGGCAGAGTTGGGAGCGAACTTGTCTGTTTATTTGAGAGTAGCTGGGGCGGGGTGCGCAGAACCGTGGACCGAGGGAAGGGGCGCGAGGCACCCCGGGAGCGGCCACCGAGCGCCGGGATGCGATGACATAATGTTGCGTGCGCTTTCGCGGCTTCGCGGCTAGAGGTGCGGGCGCTTCACGCACGCCCGCCTTCCTGCTTAGTTCCTCATGGCAGGGTAGGTAGTAAGGTTTTAAGCATCTTCTGAGAGCAGTTTATTCAAGCTCAGGTGGGAGCGCGGGCACTGGAGGGGTTATCGTCGCCGAGGATTGGTGAGCTGTTTGGATATTGATTGACTGTGTGGTTGGTTAATGCGTTAGCAAGAGTTGATCCAAGTTTGACTGTTTTGTTGGAAATAAAAGGGACCAATTGGTAAGCGGGGGTAGCTGACTGTTAGAGTGGGTGAATGAGATATACGCGTCATGAATGTTGCCGTGGGGCTTGGTAGAGCCTGGGGCTTCAGCAGACTGGGGATCTCAGGTGCTCGGATAAAGCCAGTAAAAGAGCTGCTGTCGGTTCACGGTTGACATCTTTGTTATCTTCGGAAGCTAGGGGTCTCTGCTGCTCGTGCTTAGGCAGTTTTTGAAACAGAAAAATAGACCACAAATGACATCTGACCAGAACCCAGGACTTGTCCTGGAAGTTTAATGTGTGCTACAGTTAATATGTTTTTCTCGCCTGTGGGCATTTTATTTCTGATGGATTTGTACAAGGTGGCCGTTAATAAGGAGCGTGTTCAGGAAGCAACTCCTTAAGTGATCTTACTTTGCAAGGCGCGGTGGCACACGCGGGTCATCCCAGATCCTTTGAGAGGCTGAGGCCAGCTTGGGCTACACAGTGAGTTCCTGGGTAGGCTCAACTATACAGCTAGATCCTGTCTCAAAAAAACAAGACAAATCACCATTTTGTTAAGACCCATACACTTTAAATCATTTCTTGTTCTTTGTGTTTCTGATAGGATCCTTGTCTTGCCCTGAGAATTGAATTAGTGAGGATTTGGGGAGTAATGCTGGCTTACTTGATGGAACAAAATCTAGGAATAACTTCTTCTTCTATAAAGTGAACAATTTGATCATACACTTAGGAGTTTTTGGAAAACAGTTTGATATATCTGTGCCCAGCTAATGTCTAATCATTGAGCCTTATTGGAGTACCTCTCTAGGTGGTGTGTAGTTTACACAGTGCCTGTATCTTGTGTAAACACTTGCTGGACTCTGGGTGGGAAGGAAGGCCTGACTCCTGTGGGCTGCTTCAAATACAAGCTTAATCTAGTATTTTTGCATAAGTAATACATTAACATGATGATTTGTAAATTATATAAGTGTAGTAATGGGAACAGCTCCCTCCCACGCCTTCCTCCTGAGTGCCTAACTGACCTCAGGAGCAAGCACTACTGTACTTCTTCATGGATCCTTTTACGTATAATCTGTGTGTATATTTAGATAGAGTTTAAATTATTTTAAAACAAAAGTAGTTAACTCTTAAGTTTTTAGCATGCTGTGCAATTCAGCTACATTAGGCTTAATATTATTTTAGGCAAAATGTACGTACCATATTTCTGTGTACTTTGCTGTTGAGAAAGCAGGTATTCATTAATCTGAAATAATAGGCTTACTGCTGATAAGTTTAGACCTTGAATATCTGTTCGTATGTGTGCTTCAGCTCCTCTTCACAAAGCAAGGCTGGTCATATCAGTGTAGAAAATCTGTCCTTTTTCTATTCCTCTTATACTGTTGCATGGAACTAGTGTGGCAGCCAAGCATGGACTTGAGCTGAAATGTCTACTGCTCTCTGCTCACTGTATGGGATTTCTGGGTGGGGTTGGCGACAAGTGTCAGAAGACCTAGTGTGCTTTTAGGTACCCAAGAGTCATTATGAGGCCACTGACACTGGCCTTTGACATTTTCTCATTCTCCTTCAGATTCCCACCTAGTTTTTCCCTGGCTGCAGTTGTTCATTCCTTAATAAATATTTGCTGTCTCCTGTGTGCCAGACACTGTTGTGCATGCAGGGCTTAGTGAACAAGTCGTGTCCTGGTGAAGCTACCATTCTAGGGAGGGACACCCTAGTAAGCAAGAAAGATGAATAAAATGTATCATACATTAATAGTGAAAAGGAACAGCAAAGTAAGGAAGAGGACTAGGGAGTGTTAGGGCTGCTAGTAGTGTTGCTGCTTTATCGAAGGTGCTTGGAGTGTCCACTGAGATGATGGCTTTGAGGAAAGACCTGAGGAGAGTCAGGGTTCTAGCATGAGTGTAGCTGGAGGAAGGATGTTCTGTGTAGCTCCCAGGGAAGTGTGTGAAGTCTCTCTGTGGGAGGGATAACAGAGTTCTTTCGCTTTGTTGACTTGAGTGAAAGGGAGATGACAGGAGGTGAGATCAGCAATAGGAGTGTCACCCCAAGTATCTTCTTTGTAGGTAGAACAGCCTTGGGTGTTTGAGTGAGAAGACATTGGAGCTTGGATCAGAGCAGTGGCCTGGGCTGAGTTCTATTTTAAAATGAAGTGTGATTGACAGTGGTGTGAAGGGGGACAGGGGTGGAGCAGGAAACCAGCTGGAAGGGAGAGCATGATTGGTCCCATCGAGGTGCGGGCAGTGGGCAAGGTGGGAAGTGACTGGATTTTGGGGAGAGAAGCAACAGGACTTGATCTCTGCTAAGCCTAATGTAATGCAGTCATTTACATGTTATGACTGTAACATAACATGTAAATGACTGCATTATGTGCAGTGTGTTATCGGTTTTGTGTTATCGGTTTTGATTACATTCAGCTGCAAATACTGGAGCCCTTGCTGCAGGAGCTTAAGCAGGTCACAGGTATTAGTTTATTATTAGACAAAAATGAGTCTGTTTGAGGGAGTTCAACAATAATATCACAGATTCAAGCTTTTTCTTAGCTTACAAGCCCTTGCCTTCATTTTTTTACTTTTTTAAAAAAGCTATTTGTATTGTTCTTACTGATTTGTATGTTCTTTATTTATTCTGGATCCTTGGCCTTTACCAGACACAATTTGTAAAACTTTTCTCCCTTTCTTGCCTTGTGTTTTTACTTTCTTAAAAGTGTCCTGTGAAGTACAAAGTTTTAAATTTTGGAAAGCTCTGCTTCTGTTATTTTGTCTGGGTGCTGTGCATTTCATGTGTTACCTGAGAAACCACTTTGTAATCTAAAGCCATAGATTTACTCATATGTTTTCTTCTACAAATTGTAGAGATTAAGCACATATTTAGGACTGATCCAATCTGAGTTAATTTTTGTACTGGGTTAAGGTAGGCTCCAGCCTTTTTCTCGTATGTGGATTATTCCATTATCCCAGTCCCGCTTTACTTGTTGTTGGCACCTTTGTTGAAAATTAATTGCCCATAAATGTACAGATTTATTTCTGGGCTTTCCATTTGATTCCATTTATCTGTGTCTGTCCTGTGCTGGTACTGTACAGTCTGCATTACTGAAGTTTGTGTCACGGTTTCTGTTTCTGAAAAGAGAGTCCTCCAGCTTTCTTTCTTTTCTTTTTTTTTTTTTTTATTTTTTTCATTTATTTGTGTGTGTGTGTGTGTGTGTGTGTGGCCAGCTCAGCCCACCAGGGGGCGGGGCTGGCTGGCATGTGGTGCTGGGGGATTGAACCGCGGTCCCTGTGCTCTGCCAAGCTTGTTCTAAGTAGGTGCTTTAGACCACTGAGCCATCTCACCAGCCCATCCAGCTTTCTTTTTAAAGATTGTTTTAGCTATTCTGAATTCCTTGCATTTCCATATGAATTGTAGGATCTGTTTGTTTCTACAAAGTAGCCAGCTGGGCTTCTGATTGGGATTGCATTGACTCTGTAGATCAATTTGAGGAGCGATGCCATTTTAACAACATTAAATGTTCCATACCGGGAACATCTGCAGACTTTAAGTAAATGATCACATAATAAATATTTCAAGAATTGTGAAGAGTATCTTGGTCATAGCTTCTAAACTCTACTATTGTACTATGAAAGCAGCCATAGATGATACATAAGTAAATGAATGTCTGTGTGCCAGTAAAGTTTTATTAATAAGAATGAAATTTGAATTTCATATGATTCATATCATGAAACATTCTTTTAATTTTTTTGAACAACTATTTAAAACTATAAAAACATTTCTTGTGTACTGGTTAAAAACAGCCAGGCTGCAGTTTATCCACCCCTAGATTAAAATATCATAGAGAATTACTCCTATGCTTTCTTCTAAAAATTTTAGTCATTTTTCACCTTGCTTGTCTTATTATGACAAGGATTGCTTTGGGGAAGTGTTTCTTTTCTGGTTGCTTTGTATTAATGAGCTTGAATAATTGTGAAAGTTGTACATCGTAAAAACATCTTCAGATAACACAGACAAAAAACAGCCTTTATTCTGTCAAATTGCCTTCTTAACCTCAAATCATAAAAATGACAATTATTTTTGTGTCTTTTCTCCTGATTTTTAAATACATAGACAAGCTTTTAAGTGTGTCCTTTTTAGGGCTGGGGAGATAGCTCAGTAGAATAAGTGCCTGCCTGGTAAGTGTGTCCTTTTTGTTTGTATCACTGAGGTCACACTGTATTTGTATTTTTCACTTAATGTTGTAGACATTGTTGCTTAGTAGAACATACAATTCTTATTAATTGGAACATAATATTGTACAAGTTTCTGAAAGATGACTTTTGGAGATAAACAGGCAAAGGTCTGACACTGTCCACCTCCAGCCCCTTCAAGTGATCCAGCTGCTTTGTAAACTATCTTGTGCAGCTCTTGAAGTTCCCAGG